CTTGTTGATGTTACAAAGGATCAAGTTGTGTTGAACTATTGCATTCAGAACATGAATGCAATAGACGTTGGTGCACTTATAGTTCATCATGCTCGGAGTTTTGCTGGTAGTGCTACGACTGGAGGCTTGGGATATCTTGCCCTAATTTTCACTCTATGTGAACAATAAGGAGTCGAATCTCATAGAAATGAAGAGAGATTATAGCCTCAGAATCTGATTGGGAAGCACATGATTCAAAGAGTAGAATCTTTTTTTGAGTATAGAAGTGGAAGAAGGGATAGACCCTTTACATCTGCTATAGGGGCATCAACTTATAGTTTTGCATCGTTGGAAGGAATTATGGACCAACTCATGATTCAACAATATGATATCATTAATATACAGACTCAGTTGGGAGAGATAGAAGTAAGGAATGCCTATAATGATGAATATCAGTAGAGGAGAGTTCAACATGATATAGATTTTCAAAATGCTATGGTTAGACACTTCATGGGTGAACCTAATGTGAACTTTCCTGCTTTCCCTAGCTTTGTTCCTTATGCTCCCATTCGTGATGAAGATGAAGAGGCAAGAGAAGAAGAAGAAGAAGAAGATGATGATGGTGAGGAAGGAGATGAGAACTAATAATTTAGTTTAAGTTTGATTTGATATTATGTGTTGTTTGTATATTTGTTTGTATTATGTTGTACTTTTATTTGAAACTTGTTGGATTTAAGATTTTTATGTTATGTTGTGGGCCTATAATTTGTAATAGTAATAGGAAACTTTCTACCTTTTTAGTTTTAGTTTTAGTATTTTCAGTTTGAGCATGTCGAATGTTTAGTATTTTCAGTTTTTATTTTTCAGTTTTAGTATTTCTCTTTTAATTCCCAACAAATTCTTTAGAAATATTATGTTTTATTTAATGCTTAAAAGGCTATTTGTAGTTTTACAGTTAGTACCTGCAGTATACAGAACCAATTTCATGTTCAGAAATCCACAGGTTAGTTTTTATTTTTATGCATTTACTGTTTACTTTCACAAACTAAAATTTTGTACTAAAATATTTTTAAAATCATTTAAAAATTGAAGTTTGGGGGAAAAGAAAAATTTCTTTTGAAATGGAGAAAACTAAATTTTATTTGCCATTAAGTAACTATATTTTTCAAAATTAATTTAACATGACCTGTGATATTAAGATTTAACTTTAAATGACTATACTTATGTTTATAAATATTATAGTAAATTTAGGCAAAAAAATTTAATAATGAAGGTCAATTCTAAAGTTAAAGATATTTGGTATGATAGGATAAGACTATGTTTTTCTATTTTAAGTAAAGAAAAACTATATTTTTGAAGTGTTAAGAATTTTAGAGTTTCATGTAAGAAGAAATGAATGAGGCTTTATGAAAAATCATAAACCAGTGTGACTTTATTAAATAAGGAGAGGTGTGGAGTTTTAACTTTAAGAAGAGGATAGTGAAGTTCAAAACTATTAAATGTTATCTAGATATAGTTTATCCAGATATATCTAGATATAGTAATCCTCAACTGAAAAAGGAAAAAGAAAAAGAAAAAAAAGAGGGATTAAAAAGATCCTAAAAGAAAAAAAAAAAAAAAAAAAAGAAAAGAAAAGAAAAATAAACGAAGAAAAGCTTGAGGAGATGCCTAAAAAAAATTGGCTTCACTTGAATCAACTTAAGGAAGGAGCTTTATTACATTTTCTAAACTTGTATTGGAGTATTAGTTGTATTACTAATAAAGTTGTCATGAAGTTCTTTTTCATATGAATGTTCTAATTATCCTTAATATGACAAATTACAATTTTACTTGAAATGAATAGAGATTCAAAAATCTTAAATTTGATTATTAAATACTCTTAGACTTAGAGTTTTTCTTAATTTCTGCTATTCTATTTATTGAACTAAAGTATAAAAGTGATAAGTTAATTTCTATCCTAAAGTCATATACTTTTATGTAATAAAAGTGTCACTTTTGGACAAGTAACATTTAAATTTGGGGGATTTTGATACACAAAAATAATATACAATTTTAAGTACCCTTTTTATGCCTATTTTTGGTGCTTTTTATGCCTATTTTTGGTGAGCCTATTTTTGGTGATATTGTACTTTAAAGAAAGGTATTTTTGTGTTTTTGTTATAGATATATTATTTTTAGGCATTGAAGTAACATTTAAGTTTACCAGATCGGCGCATGATGCACCCGATGCGACTTTTTCAAATTAAGGTAGTTTTAGAAGAATTTTGCACAAATTTTCAAAGGGACACTTATTCTAAACACCCCATGGAGTGATTCAATGCATCTAGACATTTTGGAAGGTTCTAATTTGAAGGGTTTAACTATTGGATCAAAGGGGCACATCTTTTGTATTCAAAGGTTTGACTTTTAAATTTTGCAGGGAAATTGAAATTCTTTTCAGAGGAGGTAGCCCAAAATAAAATCAAGTTGGAGAAGAACTTCAAGAGGGGGGGTGAAAAAAGATAGATGGTGTGAGAACCAAGTGGGAGAGATAGAGAGAGAAAATCAAGGGCTTGGAGATTTTCTTCTAGGGTTGTAAGAGGAGAGGGAAGGTGAGAGATTTCTTCTTCATAATACTTCTAAGAGAGAATTGAAAGTGCTTGTAGAGAGCGAAAGACTTGAAGAGACCTTCTAGGGATTTGCTAGGGAAGGATTGTGAGATAAGTTGTATTTTTCATTTCTTTTGTTTGTAAACTTATTTTTATATATAAAGTCCATGCTTTATTGTGTCATTCTCATGAATTATGAGTAGGTTTTTTTATCCTTCTCCCTATTTTGAAGAAATGGTTTTGTGAAGAATTAATTTTATTTTATACGGTTTTAAATTTCAATAATTTGTTTCAATAATTTTTCAATAATTTGTGATGATTTGAACTCCGATCTTCATTTACTTTTCGATATGGCCAATTGATTTGTTAAAATATTTTGAGAAACAAATGTTCTAAAAAGGGGATATAATTTCTACAATAAAGGGAGAATCATATTTGATTTCATGGGAGAGTATGTCATCCATGGGATTAGGTGCGAAGTATTGCTAAATAAGGAAATATACTTTGTTGGATGCTGAATTTAAGATTTTAAGGTGACAGATTAAAATCCTCAATTTGGTCCAATTGATTGGAAACTAATGCAAGATTGTTAGACCTCAAATGAGGGAGTAGTGGGAGCTCTGAAGTGATAATCAACATCCTCCCAGCCTAACCACATAATTAGGGACCAAAATCTAGATTAGTCAATGTTCTTTATAGCGCTCAGAAGAGGGTAGAGAATAGAATTGCTTCAGTTTGACACAAAATAATTTTTAAATATATTTTTCAAATGATTACAATTTCTTCACAAGCCACACTTTCATTGTACAGGGGAAGGGTGTTTTCTCATACTTGAATTTTTTGTTAACAAAAACCTTTGTTTTATTTCAGCAATTTTACTTTTGAAAGTTTAGCATCTAGTTTAACTTAACTGTTGTAATCATACATCTGCATATTTAGTAGCATTTCACTTGAGTAGTTTAACTTCAAACTTCATACTTACTTTGTTTTTATTTTTATTTTAATTTAAGAATAAAATATTAATTGCTAACTTATATATATTTCTAGCTTCCCTGTGAGATCGATATCTAGGATTCCATTAGAGCCCTGTATTAATTGAACGATACATATACTTGCCTTATATGTAGAAGGGAATTGAGAGTTTAAAAGAGGTTTTAAAGATAAATTATTTTCATTAAAGTTACATTATTGTTTGGGTTACATTGCATATTTATTATTAATTTAATCCCAAGTTTCCGCGCATCAGTTACGTCGAGACCAGGCATGACCACGCCAAGTCCAAGAGTAGGGGGCTGAGCCCAATGCAAGTTGGTTGACTTAAAAATGTGTTCAACACTAGGAAAGCCACTTATTCTGGAAGTAACAACACCATATTGTCCTCTTAAGTAAAATTGTTTAAAAAAAGAAGGGCTTTTACATACAGAGGACACGATTCTTATGTATTCACACATTTCACACCTAAACTTCAATATGTATAGCCATAGCACTCAAATCTTTAAAATCATATAAAAAATAGTATTATTAACAATTTTAAAAAGTGAAATACATCTTTGCATGCATGGGTTTAAATCACCAAAATGTTATATATATGTATATATGAAAGGATAGGTGTAGATATGTAAGAATATAAGAATTGCGTGCTACCTATGTAAATTTCCCAAAGAAAATAAAACACACTTTATATTAATTTATCCATACATCTAGAAAGTTATCCGTTATGATTCTATAAGTCTCACTCCTTCCTGGTTGTAGTTTTAATTCAATTGGTTTGAGCATAAGAATCTCCTTCTTGGGATATTATAAGTTCAAATTTCTTGATTTCTTGAAGTTCATTTGAGAGAAAGCATCAACCCCATATTATTGTGCTTGATATTCATCAGATTATTATGCATGGGAACCGGTCAAGTTAATTCAGCTTAATGTTAAGTGCTTTGGTTTATAATTAGCTGCATTGAGTTTCTCTTATCGGAAACCTTGATCTCTCAAAACTCAATAAAACATTTTTACTTCTACATACTATTTATAAAAATGCGCATTTTACGCACTTGCCAGCCAATTCTTATCCTTTTCTTATATCTAAAACATAAACTCTGCTTTTTACATTTATACCACCAAAATCTTTGATATCACATAAAAAATACTACTATTTTAACTTTTATAAAGTACAATATACCTTTTCATGCATCAATAAGGTGATAAATATGTAAAAATTGAACTTTAAGAGTTAGATATGTAAATACAATGTAAATATTCCTTGAAAGAAATATGTGATGCATTTTTCAATCCACTTCTCATAAATGCTTAAGATCATTCCCTTTTTTGGAATAATTATAAGAGGCTCCTCTAAAACCAATAATGCATATATTTCAAATTGTTTTGTGAGAATGCAAAAATAAAAAAAACATTAAAACATCCTAACGCTTGTCTGCGGCCATTTCTAGATCCAAATCTGTTAGGAAGCAAACAGTTCAATGTTCAGAAAAACTTTGGTGAGCAAAAGCAGCGTTACAGTTTTCCAATTCTTTCATTATTTGAACCATAAATTGTTGTTTTCAATCTTGTGAAAGAAAAAAGTGATTCAGTTTTGTCTGTAATCTTTCTGATAAGCAAGAAAAAAAAACTTGCTTAAGAATCAAAATCCATCTCATTTTGTTTCCTTCTGCCATTACGGCTTCTAAACAGTTTACCCAAAGTAGGCTTCTCTCCCTTTCTTTTCTTTATCGCAAAAAGTGGAGATCGAGCAGCACTTTTCATCCCTTGCATACCCGATACTCTGCTGCTTTTGGACCACCTCCTGCTTGCTGTTATTGAATTCTCACTAACTAGCTTCTTTGGAGTAGAAGATCCAGCCTTGAGGATGTCCATGAATTCGTCATCATCTTCCCCCGTTGTGATCTGGGCAGCCATTACATTATCCAGATTGTCCCCCTCCTCTTCCTGAGTAACTCTCATTGCTTTTATTTCCTTCTCAACGAGTTCACTCTTCATCAATATCTCCTTCTCTTGTGCTTTCAGTGTTTCAATCCATGCATTCATAGCTGCTACCTTCTTCTCTGCCACTTCCTCAGCTAACCCAGCCTTCTTACTCAAGTACTCATACTCCCACTTTGGGACAGAAATGGTTGAAGCATTCCAAGAATCCATGACCCTACTCTTCACTATCTTCTCCACCATGCTTTGCAGCTTCACAAGAGCAGCAGCTTCCGATGCCTTTACTTTTTCAAGCTCTGATATGTTATCCAGCAGCTTCTTCTGCGTGCATTTGATATCCATTTCAGTCTTCTCAATCTCTTGTTTAATGTCACACGCTTCCTTGCTGGCGTTCTCCTTCTCGTCCTTTACGGCCTCCACTTCAGCTTGTAGTTGCTGAAGTGCTTTGCTGAGACTGGAGACAATTCCTCTGGTCCATTCCTCAGCCGAAGTGTCGGATTCAAGCTTTGTTCTTGCTTTCAATAGCTTTGCATTGAGACGCTCAATTTTTGATTCTCCATTTTCTTCCAATTTCTTCATCCTATTTGTTTCTTTAGAAAGTTGCAGCAGCTCAGCCCTGACAAGATCCATTGATGCCATGAACTGAAAGCCTTCTTCCTTGATGTTCACCAGTTGCTTCTTCGCCTTCCCCAGTTCATTCTCCACAATCTTGAGTTGCTCCACATCGCTGCTTTTCTTGGCATTTTCCACCAAAAGTTCTTTAGGCGAGTTCTTCTCCATTGCTCGAAGGAGCTCCATCTCATGCTGCAGAACACTGACATCAGTGTTAGTGGCAGCCAACTTCTCTTCAAGCTCCTTTGCTCTGCTGATTTCTCTGCGGAGCTCGCTGATACTTTTCTTGGCGGCCTCCATTTTCTTAGAGAATTCCATGGCTTCCGCAGCTCGCTGGAGTTCTATCTCCCTCAGTTCCTTTTCTGCTTCGATCCTAGCAAGCTCAACGAGCACATGCTCCTCATTTACTTCCTCAATCTCTTTCCTTAGCGCTTCCACCTTTTTTAGTGATGAACTTGCCTTATTATTGTAGAATTCGATCTCCTTCTCAGCTTTAACCTTGGAATCTAATGCTGATGAAACACCAATCGTCAGTTTGCTGAGCACTTGCTTTAGGCCATCCAATTTCAGCATGAGTTCAGTACACTGAGGATCCTCAGCTCCATTTGCTGAATTCTTCAGTTTTTGGAGTTCCAATTTCCGAGTGTGTACCCGAGCATCAGACTGCTCAATTTTAAAAACGAGTACTTTCACTGCTTTCTTGTCATGAAAGAGCTCCAATTCTTCTGGGGCCTTCTCCTGCCCAGCCAAACCATTTTCTTCATTGAGCTTATTTACGGTAAACTTTTCTTGGTTAGGTAAGTTCTGATTATTTTCGAGAAGCTTATGGTTAGATAAATCAGAAAAAAATAAACTGCTTTCTAAGGCATAAAGATTCGAGTCGAGTACCTCGAGTTGTGAGATGTTGTCTTTGTTCATTCCTAGTTTTCTTAAGAACTACAGAGCAGGGAGGTGCGGTGCTCAGAGACGCAACTCCTTCACCATTAATACTTATGTGATTATATGAAGAAGAAATGGTGTTTTCGAGATGAATTTGTATGGCTTTGCTTGCCGGAGAGGTAAGGTTATCAGATTTTGAGGATACGAAGGCCACACGAGCAGGGGGGACCGGCCCGGCCCGCCGTTCTAACCATCGATAGCCTTGCCGTTTTGTTCTGCTGTAGAAGAGGCTGAGGCGCAACCACGTATGGATGTTAATTTAGGTTTAGGAGTTGAATTTGGAGCTGGTTCCGGTTGAACCCCATTGAATTTGAACCCGAGCCGTCTGATGATTTAATTTGATTAGAATTCACCTCACTTAAATTTAAATTTTGATCCATGCAAGTCAACTTGAGTTTGACTAGACATTGGTGGAGGGTGGCTCAGGGCCACACTCACTTCTAAATTTTTATTGCCCTTTAATATTACCAAAAAATTCTAAATTTCACTCTCATAAATTTTCATAATAAATAGTAAATGATATTTAAAATTTAATAGTTATATTGATAATAATTTCGAAAATTTTCTGATAATAAAAATTTTGAATTCAAATACTCATCACAATTTGATTATATCTTAAATTTTATATTTTATTATTGTTATCTCGGTAATAATTAGTTTTAAAATTTTGATTCAAATATAGTTGGAATAATTATCAGATAATCTGAACTTAAATGTTGGGTTGTTTGATACGTCATTTTTTTCTGCACCACTAGGTTGATGTCTAGGAATCAATGGCTGGGATTTGCGGGCAACGTCGAAGTAAACTTTCGCAGACGGCCCTACCATCTCTACGGAGGATCGCGTAAGATAAGAACTAGGTGCTGATATGTTTGTAATTGGATCTTTCGTATTGTAGATTTCGCTTTGTGCGTATGACTCATCCAACCCTCACGTTCGGCTACCGGCCTGTAATCTATAATTCTATGCGACGATTGCGATCATTTTTTATCTGTTTTATTTATAATTTGATGCCAATAAGAGCAAATTTATTATGTTAAATATATATTTTTTTAATTTCACCTAAAATCGGTTAATTTTTTTTACGATTTGGTATTTAAAACTGGCGAACTCAGATTAAAAATTATCCAGAACTATGACTTTAAATAAACTAATAGTTAAACTGACTGGCTGACGAGACAAATCCAGTAATACTAAAATTGATTCAATCAGAGTCAAATGAAGTGTGGATCAAGTCGTTTAGATGGTTAAATAGATTCTAAATCTGACAAGCTTATAGTTAAATTGAACTTCTCAGTTGGATGAATCCAATAAGCCCAAGATGACTCAATTTTGACATTATTAATGCACTTAACTGTCCCTAAAATGTTGTCTGATCAATGAAACTATGCTAAACCATCTAATAGAGTGGTTCAGATTTTTGTCTTATTTACAGAGAATGCTACTCCCAAATTATATAAATTTAGCCCCTCCATTCATAAAAGGGGGACCGGGAGCTAAATGTGGAGCCAGATCAAGAGAAGAAAGAGCCTATTTTCAATTGCGTTCCAGACTGAAGACTCAACAATCTTTTTACCCGCAGCTGTCTACTACCATCGACCACCGTCTGTCAGTCACTGTCGGCCGCCACCTACTCATGACCACTGGCGGACCTCGTGGAGTAACGATGTACTTTGCAGAGTAACGAAACACCATGTGGAGTAATGATTTACATTGTATAGTAATGAAGCATCTTATGAAACAACGTAGTGTCCTGAATATTATGCTACAACATACCTCAAAGATGATGTACCAAAGTTTCCACAATAACTCCAGTAACAATTGCTCTCGATCATTGTACAACGAATCCTTTCTGCACATACATTGTACTATGAGCAGCTTTTTAACCCTTTTACACTTATGAGATATGATCATATACTTGTACTCGCAATCTTATAGTGAATCGTTTTGTCTGGACTAGGCCTCGTGGATTGTTACATTTTCGATTTTCTATCAAATATTTTTGGTGTCTCTACTTGTTATTTTTAGTATCTGTTTATTTGTTGGTTTATTGTATAACACTAAGATGCTAACTAATTACTTTACTATTGTTAAACTTCCTACACACAACAGCTTGACACTATCAGGGGACGAAACTAATCCCACAACCGAAGAACTTCTCAAACTTCTTAAATGGCTACCATGTGTAACACTCATAACAACATATCATCACATTGTGACACATATTATTCCAAAGGATATTCACAGAGCCAAGAGGGTCAAGCTAGTACCTCTTCCCACCCTGGAAGACGACATCTTGTTGACGAATTAGCCTCGGACCCCTCTCTAAAGAACCAAGTGTGCTTGAAGGAGTCATAAAATGAGATTTATCAGCTCCTACGTGAGTCTTAGCAACCGATGCTCGCAGAGCCAGATGGATCATACTTACAACAAGTTCAACAACCAATGAGAAATTCCTTTCTTGAGCTTGCTTGAATTGGCCTACTCCTCTTGATGGAAGTTGTCTTTCATTAGGCTAGGATGTTTCTTTGATATTGCAAGTTTCACTCATCCATGTTTTTTTGCTAAAAAAACTTGTAACCCTCCAATGCTTGTTGGGATCCTGATCTAGGAAAGTCATACTACCACTCCTAAAAGTGCAATCTATGAGGAACTATAGCGTTTGGCTTATGAACAATTCCTCTTGGGGGATAGGGATCGTTTCTCCACTTCATAATTTTAAAAAGTCTTTCCCCATGGCTGAGGTGTTCCTACAACACCTTACCTCAATAGGCTAAAATCTCTCAAGCATCTACTCCCATTAAGGAGTAACTAACTCATATGAGTGGGACGTTCATTATCGAACCATCACTCACAAGCAATATGTTTCTAATGTGCTTCTTTGCCAAGTTTTCTTTGCCAATCTCAAAGTTTAGGCTTGCACTTGGTTCTACTCTCTACCAGGAGGGACTATCCATACCATTAATGAGCTCTCCAGACTATTTATGGACCAATTTAAGAAAAAAAATGATCATACAAGATTCATCATGATGTGTAGAAAAGAATACTTGAATTCCTTTATATTTTTCACATTATTTTGGATGGAAATTTCACTTTAAGGAAATATATTTTAATGTCTTTCTTATATGTATAACATGCATTGGAGAAATGGAGCAAAGTGGAGATGACTTGGATCTATGTAGGTCACAAGTGACTGGCGCCTTATCACCAGATTTCTTAGGTGCTTAGATGACAGTCCTAACCTAGGAACCCAAGATGCTGGAACTCAATAGGCTTGACCAATTTTGTACTGATAATATAATTTTATGTGTTTATAGTGGCTACTCCAGTGATGTGGGTATAACTAATTTTAAAAAATATTTTCTAATTATTAATTTAAATGCAACTGCACGTATCATTCAAGTGATATATGATTTTCTTTTAGTCTCAAGTATTGATCCTACGGGGAAGGAAAAACTCTTTTTATAGACTTAATAAAACTCTACTTAAACTACAGATAACTTATCTAGGAATTAAGATTGAAATTATATGTGTAAAAAGGAGTTACTATACCTACTAGTTCTATTTTAAAATTAAATAAAATGCTAAGTATTTCTGAACAAGCTTTACGTAGAAGAGTACAAATTATATGGAAGTCCTTCCCTTTCAATGGAGAGCATAATTAGTGTAGGATCAAATGTTTATAAATTTAAATTTAGTTTTGTGATAAATAGGAGCATACTTATTCTTTATCCTTTTCCGTGTGCATAAAGAACATTGGCTAACCTAGTGTTATGTTCCTAAATCCTTGGTTTTGCTGGGTAGATTCTAGCCTGTCACCCCAAAGTACCCATGTATGCCCTCAATTTAGCTAACCTACCTTTAAGCTTCAAACACTAGATCAAATGTGTTAAGGTTCTATCCAGTTACCCTAAAATCAACAATTTACACCTATAAAAACTTATCTCCTTATCTATTTGTACTCACCCCACGATTACTTTTTCTTCATCCTAAAGGTTAGCGTGGTAATTACTAATTAAGAAAAAGCATAGCCCTCCCGGGTCAATACGTTTTCACAATATGTTTTAATTGATGAATTGGCCAAATTGCAAAAGAAA